GGAAAGGGGAAAGGAGAAAGGAAAGGAAAGGAAAGGAAAGGAAAGGAAGGAAGGAAGGAAGGAAGGAAGGAAGGAAGCAAGGAAGGAAGGAAGGAAGGAAGGAAGGAAGAAAGAAAGAAAGAAAGAAAGAAAGAAAGAAAGAAAGAAAGAAAGAAAGAAAGAAAGAAAGAAAAAGAATTTTTTTCCAAGAGAAACTGCTAGCTTGGCCAAGCATTGCTCCAAATGTAACATGTACACTGATTAAACTCTTTTGGGACAGGTGCTGCTGCTGTCGCACCCCCATGGTAGACACAGCCATGCGAATTAAAGCTCTGTGTATGCTACCCAAAACTCTGAAAAGTTTTGTTTGTTTTAAAAATAGAACTCCCAGAATCTTCCATTTCCAAGCTTTGGCCTTACACAGTTCTTCCCAATACTATCCAGCAGTGAAGTTAGTTTTCAGTCACCAGTTTAAGGTTATTCTGAGCTGGTCCTTAAATTTTAAAAAAAGAATCAACCTCCCTTATTCAACTGTTCTTCAGAAGACCCTATAGACAGAGCAACAAGCCATGGATACTATACAATAAAAAGGCTTTGGATGAGCTATCTGGCACAATTCGTATGGCCCCAATTCTGCTTATGAAAATGAACCATTTCAGCTCCCACTAGCCCTTTTCGTTGTTGTTTTCAAAACGTCTGCTGGCCCCTAATGCCAAAGCATGACAATGTTCCTCTTCTTCCCACTCTCTTTCCTGTACATCTGCAGCAATATGAAAACACTGCCCTGTGGTACAGTGGTTAAATGGCATTATTGCAGCCAGGCCTCTGCTCATAGCCTGAGTTCAATCCTAACAGAATCCTCCCACTAGCCCTTTTCGTTGTTGTTTTCAAAACGTCTGCTGGCCCCTAATGCCAAAGCATGACAATGTTCCTCTTCTTCCCACTCTCTTTCCTGTACATCTGCAGCAATATGAAAACACTGCCCTGTGGTACAGTGGTTAAATGGCATTATTGCAGCCAGGCCTCTGCTCATAGCCTGAGTTCAATCCTAACAGAATCGGACTCCGCGCAGCAATATGAAAACACTGCCCTGTGGTATAGTGGTTAAATGGCATTATTGCAACCAGGCCTCTGCTCATGGTCTGAGTTCAATCCTAACAGAATCGGACTCCGCCTTCCATCCTTCCAAGGTTGGTAAAATGAGTACCCAGCTCGCTGAGAGGGGCAAAGTGTTGTTGGCATAATAAAGTTGTAAACATCCCAGGAAGAGCTTTAGCACTATGGGGTGGTATGTAAGTTGAAACAACAACAACATGTTGTGCACCTTCAAAAGGCTTGCATGACTAATGTAATTATACTGTGCAGACACTAGGCGGCAGTGGTCTATGTTTGGGAAGAGGCAGGAATTTTCCTGTTGCTATACTAATTTAAGAAAGATAACAGATTTCTTGCCTAGGTTCCTGACTGGTGTGTCCTCTAAAACAATGGTCTCTAAACCTCTGGGTCCCTAGTTATCAGGCTGCAACATGAAGAAACCCTCACCCCTGCCCATGATGGCTTGAGCTCCTACAAGTTTAAAGTTTACTGTGTAATGATTTTTAGTGGTCTATAAAGGTATCACCTATTTTGTGCATTTGCAAGTTCAAGCTCAACCATGTCTGGGGACCCACGGTTGAGGGCCCCTGGGTCATGGTGACGAATTTTAAGGAGAAGAATTATGCAGTGGAGTGTGGCAGGAAGAGTGCTCTTTTTGTTTGAACAGTGCACTGGCAGACATAGCAAGTGATCTGAATAGGAAGTCAGAAGAGAAAATACTCAAATAAGTAGCCCAACTGTGCTTTATTTTTTTTAAATTTTTAAAAAAATAAGATTTCTATACAGATTTGAAGTCATAGACTTCCTTGCTTTTTTTTCTGAAGACATTTCTGACTGTTGCTCCTTCCTTCTATGTTTTAGCTAGAGGCAGATGAAAAGACAGGGGCCAGGATCCTGCTGGGAACTCGCAGAATGTAACACACTCATTGGTGTCATTCTGTGGGATCTCCCTTTGTGTAAACATTGTCCCTATGCAAGCACAGGCCCTCTTTAGGAATACCTGACCTTGCTTTCACAAGGAGGTCTGTCTGGACACTTCCTTGCACCAGCATTAAAATTTTTTAATTGCTTATGCATCAGCTGTTTTGACCAAATAGGATCCTGGCTGTGGAAGCCAGCTCTAGGGGCATCTAGTAACAAAGTGCAAAGATTCTTTTCCCTTACGCACTACCCACAAATATGTTTCTTAAATAACAAATATTTTCCTATTTACCTTAAATAAGTGTAGAGATTGTTTTCACTTATGCACTTTCCATAAATGCATTTCTTAAATAATGGACATAGTCTTTAAATTTATATTTTCTTCAAAACAAGTACTTCCTGGTCAAAGAGTTAAGTCAAACAAAGCATGCTCCCCATAAGCAAACATCCTTCCAAAAATCATTTTATGAAATACTACTATTATCACAGAGCAAATCCCGCCATTAGGCAGCGTGAGGCACCTGCTATTGGCTGCAGATATGGTGTATTAAAAGAGGCCAACTCCCCAGCTGTTCATCCAGGCCATTCCTCTCTTCTCAGGGACACAGCTGTGCTACAGGACCTGGCCTGCATTGCCTAAACAGACATGCTTCCCTTAAGAATGCCCCCACTGTCAGTCTTGAAAGACCACTTTATTCCCATTTTAGGTGGCTTCTATACATGGAATGGAGAAGGCATCATCTTGTTCTTTTGCTTCTGGCAGCAAAATGCCTTCAGCCAGCCCTGCTCTATTATACTGTACAATAGTTAAACATTGCAGTGTACAAACTGGCCTGTTCCGTGATACATCTCTGGATGTAACAAGATAAGCTGGGTGACGGGCACAGCAAGCCATGTCATAAAACCACATTACACTTGCTAGCCCTCTCTCACAGAGATGCTGAGCCTTTACTTCTTTCCTCTCCCGTTCTTGTCCTTTTCTCTGCTGTATTATATTTTAATCAAATCTCAGACTTGATTTGCTTAAAGTATAAAGTTTCTAGCCCTGTTCTAGGAGGGGGAAGTCTGGAAATCTGTAGCAACATCTGCTCATTGGCTTGGAAACTGAATTCCATCAGGATGACCAGGACACGAAGCATTTCCACAAGGCAAAGTTTTAGCCAAGGGAGGATTTCCCTCCTTGCTTACCCTTCGCCAAGGATATATGTAAGTTATGTCCATGAGCGTGTAATATTCCTTCAGAGGTTCATCTTCATAGAGAACTTCCACCTAATAGATAAAACAGTACAATTAAACAAGAAAATCTGAACCAGCAAAATGAGCCTGGAGACTTTTGGAGGAGGCAGCTTAATAGGATTGCCAGATTTGAGGGTGCCAGCTGAAGTCTCCAGGAATTGCTGTGCTGTTCTCATTCTCCAGGCCAAAATACACATCTTGGGACCAGTGGTGGTGGAGGAGGGGATGTTTTACTTCGCTTTATTTTATTTTTTGGATTCTACTGTTTGTGACAGCCGTAATGCCTGGGCCCCCATCTCCTCCCTGCTCACAACTGACTAGGGCTCACTGGCACCGTGTGAAGTTGTCTGAAAATGTGTTGCACACATAATAGCAATTTAGGACATAGCGCAATAAATCTCGTATTGTCTGTCAGTGAAGCTGAAACTAAGTACTTCTGTGTTGTGTGCAGCTCCCAGCATGCAATCAGTTCTAAAAGAACACTCCCTGTATCAGCTTTCACTACACCAGCATTTCAGTTGTGGACAACTTGCTCTTCTGTTGATCTGTCCACAGCATCATGAACTGGGGTGTGTGAGTATGTGTGTGTATATGTTTGCAAAACATTCAGTGACATTTGACACCTTGTTTTAAATGGGCACACCCATCAACACATATTCTTTTGCAATCATTACACAAATGCCCATCTTCTGTGAGCCCACAGAGGAGCATCCAAGTTGCACTGGGAGCCCCAAGCCGGCTCAACCCCTACTCCTAGCTTAAGGTTATTTAAGGCCAAGGCTGGCCCAAGATATTTGGCTGCAAGAGAAGAAGGCGCAATGGCCTCTTTCCTGTCCATGCCCTGCATAAAAGACAACTGGATTGAGAGAATCATCTGACTTCACCACCAGCAATGGGACAGCATCTACTGTCTCAACTGAGAGCAGCATCCTGCACTTAGGAGGTCACAGGATATGCCTTTCAGCATATTTGGCTCAGTCCTCCACCAACTCATCATCACTCCTCACCCCACACTATTTGCTGCCAGAGAAGTTGCTTTGCTCTGCCTTATGGCAAAGCTGGCCTTGTCTAAGACTATAAAGTTAAGGTGGAGAACCTGCACCCCCCCCATCTTCTGTTATTGGCCTATGGTGAGGTAAAGAAAGCAAGATAAGGAGAGACATGGAGTGGGATGGCGGCATTCAAGAGGATCTGCTATGTAATTTTGTAAATTTCATATCCCTTGGGTTCTAGCTCTGCTCATCACCACCTGTAATCCTTGACCAACTTTGTATGAAAATGTTTTCTCACTAACTCCTGCTTTCAAAAAAGGGAGGCTTGAAAATGCTCCCCCCTCATTGCAGAAATAAAATTCTGTAAACAAAGCCAATAGATACATTTTGCTAATCTGCATAATTATATTGGAATAGAATCTTGCTACACTTTATTTTTCTATTGCTACACTTTTTTAATATATACTTTTAATACATCCAGCTACGTTGGAGCCTTTCCTTGGCAAAACAGGCTAATCTTTTATATGACACCAAAATTTGAAAAAAGGCCCATTGACCTTTAACTTGTTTCCAATATCTGGGCTCCAGCCTCAAATGTCTTGCTGCAAAAAAAGCAAAACCACTGAGCACCTCTGTGCATGTGCAGAATGTTTCTTTCTTCTCACTGAGAAAACAATGAAGAAGGTTCCATTCGTTATGGTATCTGGGGTTATGGGCTTCTTTTTGTCTCTTATTTTAAAATTTAGTAATGTAGTAATTATTAATCAGTAAGTATTAAGTTCTGTGTTAACTCAGAAATCTATTTGTAAAGAACTGTACAAGCCTTCAAGGGAACTCAGTTCAGTGGAATATTGAATTCTGAGTATTTGTTGGCTTGTTTGTTTTATATCAAGTGCTAACTAGCACTTCATTGATGTAGGAACGATTCTGAGCCAGTACAAGGCTGATAGCAATCTTTGCCCAAGAAAATGTCATGCACTTGATTGCAACTCACTTTGTATTTGCTGGGAACATCCATCTTGTTGCGGAGGAACTTGGCCAGGTGCATGATCGTCATGGCAGCCGGACAACGGAGGAATCTCATACTGTTCTTCTATACAGAAATGAGAAAGAGAGCAATGACTTTTGTAGGAAGGAGGGAGGGAGGGAAAGAAAGAGGGGATCAAGCTGGGCTGTTGAGGCAGGAAGAAAAATACATACGGAAGCAGCTGTAATGTGTCAAAAAGCAAGAAAGATGTTTGGGAATAGAGGAGGACTCCAAGAAGCGTCATAGGTCACAGCCCAATGTCTCTACTATAATCCATGGGGCACGGTGGGGGTGGTGGGGTTTAAAGCAGAAAAGGAACAGGCTTGCAGGGGTGGGAAATTGTTGTTGTTTGCTTGGATTACAACTCCCAGAATCCCACAGCCAGCACCGGTAATGACCATGTGAGATTTTTGACACAGTAGTACAAACAACAAATGCGTCCTGTCTCTGGAAGTCTTGACAGGGAGGCAGGGAAAAGAGGAAGAATTGGCCAGAAAGGAAAAAGAATGGCCAAATAGGACAAAAAAGAGAGAAAAGAATAAAAAGAGCTGAATAGAAAGAAGCAGCAACAAAACTGCTGGAAGTAGTAGGGAGTGAGAGCAGACAGCAGACAGTGCAGCCGTCTGCTTGTATGGGAGGCTAACTCAAGCCAACCCTCAGGCCCAGAACCAGATTTTTGTCTTTTTTTTACTGCCATGGTTTAGGCCTAAATACATGAACAATGAAGATTAAAGTGCACAGGCAGCTCTCAGATGCTAAAGGAAAGGCCTTCTGGGCTAGAAGATAGTCAGAATGAAACTCTGAACTTTTCATTTTTGAGATAATTCATCATCTGTATAGTAAAGTACTGGAATACAGGTTTTGAGGGCCTTTCCAACACCATTCGTTTTACATATTAAAGACCAAAAATGGCCACGGTGATAAGAGGATTCCAGGAGCTGGTTTCCAAAGAAGGTAACTTTTCCAAGCTCTGCAGGAGATGAAGACTTATCTCATGTTCGCAAAGCATACATCTGGCCAAAAGCTATTATGAATTACACTGGGACATCTTACACTGACCCACCTTGTCCTTCTCGAGGTTTCCATTTTCTATGGTCCCTTTGTTTTCATCTCTGAGGTAAATGACAAGAGAGGGGAAGTCAGTGAAAGACACACATGAAACCCAGCAGAGTCTGATGATTAGAAATGACAGCTTGGGTTGACCCCCTTGGGTTGACACTGGCTGACTGGGAAAACATGATTAACTGAAGACCTCTCTGGGCCCAGAAAGCTGTTTATTCTTGAACACTTTTTAGTCATAAGCTATGGTTAAAATCACAGAAGATGTTACTTCTGAGCTCTGCACATTGCCATCTACATCAGGAAGGGGCAACTTCCAAGATGCTTTCTCCTAGACCTTAGAGGGACGCGTCTCCCCTTTCTAATCTCTCAACACCCTCAAAGCATCCTGAAAATGTTCCCCTCCAAAAATGGAAATCACAGGCCTGCAGATCCTGTGGAGAAGGCACAGCCTACATTGTATGGTTCATTTAGCAGCTCCCCAGCCACTTGGTATTTTATTGACTGGCTGATCACTTCAAGTTTTCGAAAAAGTAAAAAGGCCCTTTAAAGTCTTAAACAGTCCTGGGGGAAGGGACAAAACAGAGTGTACAATACAAGTAGGAAAAAAATTAAGGTAGGGAAACGAACATTTGGAGGGAGCTCAAGAGGAATGGAGAGGTTGTGGGGGGAGGGTGCACACCAGACATCCTGGAACATGCACTGAACCCTGAGAGCCACATGTAGACTGTGGACCTCACTTTGCATACCTGTGATCTGAAATCATCCACACTACTCCATAATCCCATTAAATTCGGAGTCTAACATTTATACCAAACAGTACTCTTGGGGGTGAGGGGAAAGAAAGGAAATGGGGATGGAATAGAAAATAAGTTCAATTTCCATTGCTTTGTTCTAACCCTCCTCCTCATATGTGCAATGTAACAAATAACAAAACAAAAATAGGAGCAAAGAACAGAAACCTCTCTTGTCCCAAAATCTATCTCCACTCCACACTTGTTCATTATGAAACTGCATGTATGGTTTGCATAATCAAGCTCAAGGTGACATTGAACCAAAACTGATTTTTAAAACATACAATTAAGGGATAAAATAGCTTTTAAAATTTAAAATATAGCACATAAATAGACCTTTAAAAAAACAAGAAAAGAAGAAAAAAATACCATGAGTAAAAACCAGAAAAATACCAGTTTAATCAATTTATTGGGTAGAACATTATGTTATCTCTCTTAAAATTACCTGATTCCTTCATAGAACTCTATGGATAAGCTGACAATTTCATCATCTGTCAGATTCCCTTTCTCTTGTTCTGAAACCTCTCCTCGGTCTTCATTGGATCCATTGGGAACTAGACAGGAGAAATAGAGTGAAAATCACACGAGCTGTTAAAAATATATACTACTGTTGACATGTAGGAAATCACACATCAGACACCATACCATCTGCCAGAGGGTATGCTGCGTAGAAATCACGCCGCCTCTTCATTTCATCTGCAAAGGAAAGCAAATGGCTAACTTATTAATCAGTATTTTTTACTTTTCATTCTGTGAATTATATTGCCTGATTTTAAAAATTGTTTTCTTACTCCAAAATCATTATTTGTGTGCACAATGGTAATATCATGAGCACTTTATACCCTTTGGTGGGGTGCTGGTCACTTGACCAGATCTGCAACCAGTGCAAACTGGCCACTTGACAGATAAATTGCCAAAGGGTGCAAATCACTTGCATGATTACTGCTGTACCTGTAGATGTCTCAACAGGATTCTGGCATTAATGTTTAATAAGAATATATAAAAAATACAGGAACATCTTAATGTTGCACATAATTTAAAATTACTTGCTGACCATAACCTAATTAAACAGAACTGGAATTGCTCTTGAATTGAGGCCAAAGGTACATGGCCATCATTTGTTGGCCACATTTGAAAGCCCTTTTATATTATCTAGTTATTAGGCAATATCGCGTCTGATACCTTGGCAATCAGTATTATATCATTTATTATTTCTCAGCCTAGCATCTGAACTGAATACCTATCTTTTCCTGCCTAAGGCCAACCGAAGTTGGTTTTGCTCCAATATCAATCACATAACATAAAAATATATTCCTAAAATCACCACCACCACCCCAGCCTTTTGGCTGCTCCCAATCAAACATTGATACCTTTAAAGAGACCCGGCACCAACTTGTACACAATGTCTTGTAGAGTTTTATCTGATCTGAAATGTAAAAAAGAAAAACTGTTATTAACAAAGGTCAACTAAAGGATATTTCTTAAAAATCACTATTCTTATCCTGCTTTAAAGAAAAAATATGCATTGAGAGACAAGGACTGTTTTGCTTTTGATAATAGTGTGGGTATGTGGGAGGGGAATGGAATAAGCCACTTTCTCTTGATGTCACGCAAAATAGGTTTTATAAAATTAATTGAACTTCTAAATAGAGCCTTATGGAGCGAAGAAAACAGATTATATTTTCCTGTTTTCTTCTCCTAAAAAATTGGTGCGTCTTATGGAAAGGTGCGTCTTATGGAGCGAAAAATACGGTAATTGAACTTCTAAATAGCTCAGCAATTTAGGTTATCTGGCTGCAGAGGCAGAGGTTGAGAGTTCAATTCCCTACTGTGCCTCCATGACAGGGATGGAGCCAATGATCTGTAGATTCCCTTTCAGCTCTGCAGTTCTAAGGTGGTGGTGGTGATGGTGGAGGCTGTTGTTGTTGCTGCTACTGTTGTTGTTGTCAGTCAAAGGCAATGGCCCTTGAAAATGTGATAGCTGGTATTTGAGGCTGGAAGAAATAATTTACATTTCAAAACCAAGTGTCTTGTTTTGAACCTTGGTGTGCCAAAGCTTAGCCTATTAATCTTTTTTGAGTGCTAAAAAAGAGCAGTGTGCTTTTGGATAGCTGCTAGCACAGACCAAGGACCAATCTGCTCCAGCATCCTGACCCCCATAGCAGCCAAGAAGATGTCAATGAAATGCCCACAGGGCACATGTGAGGACATGGTCCCCATGCTTCTGTTGTTCCCCAGCAACTCATATTTAGAAGCATGGTGCCCTGGATCCTGAAGCATGCAGAACCAGAACTCAGAAATATTACTTCTTGATTCTGATTCCTAGGAAACCCAGCTGGCCTTGCTGGAGATCCTGGGAGTTGTAGTTGAAAAGTCATTTTCTCTCCTGCTGTGATTGGGTTTTTATCTAGAGTGGGCGGGCCAAGGGATTCGGCGGGAACGACAGTCGGAGTCGAAGTTGCCGTTATAAAAGGATTTGTTTTATTAACTTTAACATTAAACAACTCAGGACCAAACGGGTCCGGTATCCCTTCGTTATCAACAAATTGTACTTCTTGGGTGTGGCCCCAGGCCCCACATCTTTAACTTTTACTGTTTCTTCACCCCAAAGCGGGAAATTACATTCTGGTTCATGACTGGTGCACTCAGCACCGAGCAGGTTGTCCTGCAGCATGGATGGATCACTACCGAACCCTCCAATCTGGGTAGGAAGGGGCTGACACCACCAAGGGTCCTGCTGTTCGCTGAGGGGGGAGTAGCCAAAGCCGTTTCCTGCCTCCATTCCCTTCTCCTCTCACCTGCTCCGAACTTGTCTATTTCCTTGGGAAGAGGCAACAACCCATCTTCTCTCATCAGGTTTGGAAAACTCTTCACGAGGGTCGCAATTCGCTCTCTTTCTACTCCCGTTTCCACCGTTTGTGTCTCTCTGCTCGCTCCCTCTGAATACCCTCCCCTTTTCTCTCTCTCTTCTTTTATACTGTCATCCCAACTCCACGTCTGGACAGTAGACATAATGCTTCACATAAGAAGGTCATGAGGTCTAGGTCAGGGACCATGGTCTGCAGAGACAGAAAGCCAATTTCCCACCCTCCCATCCTTCCCGGGGTGTCTGGTGTAAACACTGATGAAAAGCCATTCAGGGGACCTCCCATACAAAAACATTGAGAAGATATATTAGCACTTAACAGAGAGAGTATCGCTCTCACTTTTTCTCTCCTTCCACCTAACACCCCCCCTTTGAATGCATGTATGCATATTATGCATGTATTTTACATGAGCTATTTGCAATTACAGCATCAGTGATGGTGTCATCTTTTTGTTCTGCTTCATATTAAAATGCTTTGGAAGAAGGATGCAGAAGGTCTTAGGTTTCCAGGAAGGAACATAATGAGGGTAATGCATGGCAGGAAAGCTCTCTGCAGTCTGCAAAACAGACATAAATAAAGACCTGCAGTATAATGGAACTCTAGGACACCATGAGGAAATTCATGATATTTTTGCCACTGGTGTTTGGTGATTTTGTGTGTGTGTGTGTGTGTTTGTAATTTTCCCAAGTGCCGATTCTGCTATGCTTCCATGGATGTGAACTTCCATGAAAAACAAGCATTTGAAATGGGGATTTATTGTAGGGTATTGAGAATTGTTTAGATCAAAGGGATGACCAAAACAGAAGTACTAAGGCAAAATAATAAAGACCAAGAAATCGCAGAACAGATGCAGAAAATTAGAACACTTTGGCCACATAATGAAAATTACGGTAAAACTACAGTTTCTTAGAGGTGACCACTGAAGGTAAAATAAATAGGAGGGAAAGTGTAGGATGAAGTAGAATCTCATGGGTGAAAAACCTTAGAGACTAGATTGAGTGTGACACAACATTATTGTTTAGAGTTGCCACAACCAAAATCAGAGTACAGGTAGTTGTGATGACGTCCAACTCCAATCCCACCTCCCATAGAAGAGGAACAAGAAGCTTCTTATGCCTTCCCAGAACATATGCTGTTATTAAAGAGGCGAGCCCTCTTCTTTCACCGTCTCCTTGCAACTAACTTCCTTGCAAAAATCATGCCCCTTCTTCAAGCTTTGACTAATTAGAGATGAGCAGAACTGAGCCTTGGGTCCCATCCTCTCTCTTTTCTTTCCCCAAGGAGTAAAGATCAGAAGCTCCTGGCACCAATGAGCAACAACCCACCCCTGCTTCATCATCTGGGGCCTATTGTTTGACAGCAAGCGGTGTTTTGTGTAAACCATTGTGTGCCACCTTCAAATAAAAATTGCAAACAATGGTTTGCTACAAACTAGGAGCAAAGTTGGAGACATGGTGGAGCTGCGGATTAAACCACAGAAGCCTCTGCACTGCAAGGTCAGAAGACCAGCAGTCGTAAGTTCGAACCCACACGACAGAGTTGCTTGTCCCAGCTCCTGCCAACCTAGCAGTTCAAAAGTATGTAAAAATGTGAGTAGATAAATAGGTACTACCTTGGTGGGAAGGTAACAACATTCCGTGTCTAGTCATGTTGGCCACATGACCAGGAAACTGTTTTCGGACAAACGCTGGCTCTATGGCTTGGAAACAGGGATGAGCACCGCTCCCTAGAGTCGAACACGACTGGACTAAATGTCAAGGAAGACCTTTACCTAGTTACCTGCTCCTAGGTAACTAGGAGCAAAAAGTGTGTGCATGTGTGTGTGTGTGTGTGCGTGCGTGTGTGTGTGTAGGAAATAGTGTGTGTGTGTGTGTGTGCGCACGCGCGTGTGTGTGTAGGAAATGTAGGGAGCCAAGGATCACAGCTGCTCATTTTCAGTTGAGCTTTACTTTTCTCCCCTACCAGCATCTTACTCTGAACCTACCCGGCAGTTAAGATCTAGCCAGGGGACCCTCTTGAAAGAGCCATCCCTCAAGGAGGTAGGAGGGATGGCTTGTAGACAAAGGGGCTTTTTGGCAGCTGCCTCCAGTCTATGGAACGCCCTCCCAACTGAAATTCATCTGGCACCAATGCTGATGACATTTCGGCGCCAGGTCAAAACCTTCCTGTCCCAGAAGGCTTTTAATTGAAATAATATCAACTGTGGGTCCTGATGGCAATTTTAGAATATATATTTTAATTGCATTTTAATTGTTTTATCTTTTTTTACTGCATTTTAATTGTTGTAAGCCACCCAGAGACCTTTGGGTAGTGTGGGTGGCATACAAGTTAAATAAACAAACAAACAAACAATCTAGCATAGACTGTAAGCCTTATGAGCAGAGGAAATGGAACAGCTAGGCTCTATAGAGCACATAGTACACTTTCAACCTGACAACTCTAATTTTACAAACATGTACTAAGAGGAGACTCATTGGATATCAGTAGAATTTATTGCTGCAACAGTTGATAGATTAGATCAGTGTGTTGCTTTTGAAAGATCCAAATGGCAGAAAACCCCCAATACTCTTATTAGAAAAAATCATTTTCATCCCAGCTACTGCGTGGATTATAGCTAAACAGAGATCCTTTTGGGTTTTTTTGGAAAAATCCATCCTTTACTCCCATGGGTGTCTGCAGAGGAGGGACAAGTAAGGACGTTCCCCCACCTCATAATCTTAAACCTGGTATTTCTTTCAATGTACACAGATAAAAACTACAGTCAGGTTAATAATCTATAGGTATCATTCATAGATGTCTCCAAGACCCACTGAATTATTTCAACAGATGCCCTTGCTTACTGCAGCTACCCAACAGATGCTGGAATGGCAATCAAGAGGACCTGGAGAGGACAGGGGGTGTCATCACCCCAGCTCATCAAGAAATAATGGAGTTTTTTATTAGATTCTGTTTGGATCCACAACAAGACTGCACCCTCTGCCCCGTCAAGGCAGAAAAAAACCACCAGATTGTGTACAAGAACAAATAGTCATTCACGTCACTTTCCATGATGGAGGGGGAGTTACTATGTCCTCCATCATAAGGATATGGAATTTTAAGCAAAAGCAAGAAATTGAGATGTGCAGGCTACAACCCCCAAAACTGCTGTTGGCTGTGAAGAATTCTGGGAGTTGTAGTTCAAAAATAGAAATCTGCATAACTCTATCAAGACCAAAAAGAAAAAAGAATGCCTGGGGACTGAGGGTGATGAAGGAACCAAAAAGGGAAGTAACGAACAGGTTTCCAGCTATACTATAGCTACTCTACAATCACAGACACATGTGAAATGGAGTACCTGTTTCTTATCACCATCACCATGGTATTACATTTTTCTCATTTATAAAATACGATAGTCAAGTAAACACTACCATATGTGGAAGGGAGGACGTTTCTTCTGTTTTTTTAAAAAAGCTACTCCCATATCTGTATAGTCATAAGGGAAATTAACAAGAAAAATATTTAAAATCTGATTCAAATACTACATTTTTCTGCTTACAAACGATACAAAAATCATCATCAGCATCACCATCATTATCATTACAGAAGGACTAAAATGTGACAAGAAATATACTTCTCGCATGGTCTCGAGTTATTTTAAAACAACACACCCTTCTCAGCACATATCTGAATGTCTACATTTCTGTCGTTTGCAGAAGCATACCACAAGCGAGAGAGAGGATCAGCAATGCTTTAAGTGGCAGATGTGAAATCAATCTGAGATGGCAGGTCCTTTTTCTTGATGGCTAAAACCCCAGTGACATCCTGCCCCACATTTAACCTGCTTGGTAGTTTGCGCTCTCTTTCTCCCCTTTGCACACGTCTTTGCTTCTCTGCCTTGTGGATGTTTGGGGATCTCTGAGGAAAGACCAGGAAGAGCCAGGCTTGTAAATATTTGGCAGAGAGACTCAAGTGTTACTAAAGAAATTAATTTACATGGAGCAGAAGCTAAAAATACACCCAGAGATGTGTCTATCGCAGGCTGCCTTCTTTGTTTCTATGCCAACCATCTGCAGAGTTCATTAAGGTGCGTCTGGCTTCCCAAAAATCCAGACTAATAGGGAAGTGGCCAGATAACCACTTTAAAGCCAAAGGGAGAAATATTGCTGGTCTTTTTTTTAATGCATGAGAAGAGAGACAGTCTATCCAAAAATCAGACCAACATATAAGGAATTTACTTATATCACCCAAAATAAGCAAAGGCAAGATCCACATTATTGCCTACATTCACCAGCCTGATAATTTTAGCTTTTGTTTCACCATGAAAGGTTTCTAGACCTTATAGCTGCTAAAAGGAAACTAAATTGAAGAATGTTAGATAAAACGTTGGAAGCTGGGGGCTGGGCAATATAATCTGTTGCCCTCACACTCCAACTTGCAAAAGCAGAAGGAATCATCCAAAAATGGTAAAAAATACTTTGAATTTTAGTAATTGGTTATTCATTTATTTAGTATTTATTCTGCTAAAGAGGATACAGAGCTCTAAGCATGCCTCTGGCGGGAGGTTAAGGGAAAAATTCCAGGACGAACAGAACAGATCAATACACATAAACCACAACCGTACTCAGGTTAAATAGTTCTTCAAGCTTCTTCAAAAGGGTTGCTTGTCTGTGGTCCGAAGACTCTTTTAAGGGGTCTGACTGGGCTATCATTCCCTTTAATTAGCATTGCTTATTTGCTTTATTACAGGAAGACAGCCAACTGCCAACTGCTTTAGAAACAGAGGCAGTGGTAGTGTCTCCTCACCTCCCCACCCAACCGTACTCAGGTTAAATAGTTCTTCAAGCTTCTTCAAAAGGGTTGCTTGTCTGTGGTCCGAAGACTCTTTTAAGGGGTCTGACTGGGCTATCATTCCCTTTAATTAGCATTGCTTATTTGCTTTATTACAGGAAGACAGCCAACTGCCAACTGCTTTAGAAACAGAGGCAGTGGTAGTGTCTCCTCACCTCCCCACCCTCCTTGCCCAAGACAGCCAACTGCCAACTGCTTTAGAAAGAGAGGCTGTGGTAGTGTCTCCTCACCTCCCCCCCACCTTCCTTGCCCTCATCTCCACATGAACAAATTGCACTGATTCTGTGTCCAAAGGAGACAGCACACCTGAAGTGTTGCTCTCTGAACAGATAGGACATTTGTGAAGTTGCATCAAGTTAAACAACTGTGGAGAACAAGTCCTCCTTCCATGAAAAGGCTTAGAGCTTCAAGAAAGATTTTTGAATGAGAACTCCCAGAATCCCTCAGCCAGCAGAGCCTTGAAGCTCTGTTCTGATGGCACTTGCTAATTAGATAAGGGGAGGGAGGAGGGGGTATTTTAAAGTTAGGGTTCACTAGGGCTGGGCACTGGTCTTTGACACAAGAGCTTTTCCTCAGGTTATCCTCAGAACTCTTGAGCAGTGTAAGAGGATGCACAGTTGTTGAAAAGGAGTCCTGGCCATTGCTTTATGTTTGGGTGAGAAGTGGTTAACTGGTGGAAAAGGGAGTCAGGTTTCTGGGGTCTTCCTTTGCTTGGTGTCAATTTGCGAATGATAGTGAGCACAAGAGGATATCCTGTAGACCACTGGTTCTTAACCTTGGGTTACTCAGGAGTTTTGGACTGCAACTCCCAGAAGCCTTCACCACCAGCTGTCCTGACTGGGGTTTCTGGGAGTTGCAGTTCAAAAGCATCCGAGTAACAAAGGTTAAGAACCACTGCTGTAGACTATCTTGACTGCTGTCATTGGTGTTGTCAACACTCAGGTTACCCTTTGCTATGTAAAGCTGGGCATCCTTTTTCTTTCTGACCATGTGGGCATGATTTTATGCAGCAATATCAGGCCATTTCCTGATGCCTTGAATTGTGGATACAGAAGCACATTATCCCACATGGGATAAAATGGAGGGTTGCTGTTTTAATGAACAAGTATAACAAATAAACATGTACTGCACAGGACTAAACCCACCAAGCAGCTTAGAAATCCAGGACAGAGGAACTGTAAATGGTAGCCCTGCATGACCTTTTGTGTAATGATTTCAGGTCTACAAAGTTCTAAATTTCACACTATAAACATTTAAGCACTCAACACTCATCTGCGACCCCACTGGGTGGATACCAATGCCTCTGATATAATAAGAGTAAACCCACACAAAATACCTAATACTGAGAAGCGGCCTCGTTTTATGCACTTGGACATCACACATTGGGCAGTATTTGTTGGTCTCCAGGTAACGGACGATACAGGTTTTGCAGACTAAAAAAGAAAGATAACAGAGGTGAGAGGAGAAACCACTGCCAAGGACCAGCCTTACTGATAGGGCTGTGCTGAGGTGTAGAAACTGCCATTATTAATAAGTTTTTAAATGTTCAGGTAAATCACATAGCAGTCACCTAGATACCTACCAGCTCAGGATGTCCAGAGAGAGGAGCATTTACTACTTGTCCCCATATAAGCCTCACCCCCAGCTCCTATGATTTTAAGGGGAAGCCCTTTTCTCAGTCCCTTCACTTTCAAGGCACAGTTAGTGAGAACACAGGAAATGGCCTTTTCAGTCGTTGCTCCCAGGTTGTGGGACGCCCTCTGCAGGAGGTCACGTAGGCATCCCACCCCGCTGTGGGAAGCTTCATCAAATACTCTGGGGATGACTACATTTGTAAAGGGAAGGAAGTAAATATTTGAAACACACTAAACAATGAAACAGAGATTTTAAAAAAACCTGGGGGTGGGAACTCTTGATCTTTTAATATACTGTTGTTAGGCTGCCCTGCTTCTGCTTTTAAGACATGATACAACTCCATAGGAGAGCAAAGAGACCTCAGCTACCCCTTGTAGATTTTGGGATGTCATGACAAAGAAACAAAATGTCAGCTATTTCATCCATGTAATGAGGACAAATTATATTTTACACCTGAGATTGAGTGGAGTGAAGTTAGGGTATTGGTACCCTGATACTTTTTTATTTCCAGGCACAATGACATCATCTGCCACCACCATCCCATTCTCTGAGATTTCAGAGTCAAAACCTGAGATTAAGAGGTTGGTCTTTGTGATTCCACTGAAGTGTTTAGGGCTTAATGGGCAATCAAGACCCATTACCTTTTTTTGTTAAAAAAAACCTGTTCTGGGTAGAGATAAAAACAGGTAGAATAAAGAGAAATGCCTGCATTCATAAAATTTGCCTTGGAAATGGGGCTAAGGAATATTTCTGCTGGTTGGAACTGGGGATATTATTTCTCAGCAGTTGTTTTGTTTGTAATTCAGCCCCTCAACACACACACACACATCACCGCCACTATCCCTTATTCAGTGGAGAGCTGTGTGAGGTGTTGAGGGAATCCCATTAAGAGCACTCACACTTTAGAATTCACTGCTACACTGATGACACATAGTTCTAAACTGCTAAAACAGAAACCTAGGGGGTTTCAGGTTTGCCTAAACCATACTTCATGACTGTAAGTACGTATATGTTTCTTTGGGGCAGGGATTGCCTTCTGAATATTAAGGAAGTTGTATTTTTTATATATTCAATCAAAGCTTGGAAGAAGCCATTGTAGAATTACAATTCCCAGAATCCCACAGCTGTCAGAGCTCACTTGGAGGCACTCTGTACCATCTACTGTGGCTACTGGCCATGCTGGTTGGGGGATTCTGGGAGTTGTAGTCCAAACAGCTAACTTTCCCAAGATCTGCACTCAATGGACGTTATGATTACTCTGCACATTCTATGGCTGAATCTAGCTCTGAAAAGCAAGCCCAAGGATGAGAGAGGTCTTCAGGAAATTACTAAGAAATTCCAGATTGGGTCTAAAACTTACAAGAATGTAAGCATTCCACAATAGTCGTGGCATCTATGAAGTAGCCTCCACACAAGGCACACATCAAGTGAGGGTTGAGCTCTGTGATTTTTATCCTGGTAGTCCTGTGCATTTTGGATCCCAAGGAGCTCAGCAGGTCCTCTCTGAAAAAAGAAGAAGAAAAGGACAAAGAGTAAATAAAACACCCCTGATCATCCTGCAAATACAATGGCATTAAGCCACATGTTTAAGAAGAAAATACCAGTGCAAGGTATAACATAGAAACTGCACATTGCATGCAAACCATGAATAACTTGGAAAAGTTGCTTTTTTGACAACAACTCCCAGAATCCCACAGGCAATATTATTCTTGTGCACATTTAACAGGATGCCTCTCATTGGAACAATAATCTGGTGCTTAGCACGAGACCCTTCTGAAGCCCCCACTCCATCCAGTTATGAACGGCCACTTTTGTTGCCACCAGCGGGAAAAGAAGGAACAGGCCTTTCCTTATTCCTAAATCGAGCTCTTTTGCCTGCTGTATTTTATTTACTCAGCTGAACTTCCTGCTTCAGGTTTCTTGCAATCAAAATTCTAGTGGCCAGGTTTTAATTGTTCATCCTTCTTCCCAGTCCCTTTTGGGTAACCTCTTTTTGACGTTTGAGTCTCTCTTATTTGTAAGCTGCTTTTGAGCCTTTAGAGGTGAGGAGCAGGGTAGAAAGGCTCTAAATCAGTATACAGTACAGTAATGATGACATGGACTTATGAGCAGAACTCTATGTTGCCTGCATTAAGCTCTAAACTAAACAAACTTGCACATTTTTGTTCATCATTTCTTCAGCTTGTCCTGTAGGAGAATAAAGTGTAATGCTGGTGGTCAAAACCTAGCTATATAGAATATCTCGCCCAATGTCCTTCCCTGGTTTTGAAGACTAAATATTGTAAATATTGTAAATAAACTATAAGGTGCTTCATCATGCACTTGCCAACACACCTTGTTCCCTCAAGGATAAGACACTTCTGTCCAGTTCGCATTCTCAGGGTACTCTGTTCTGCACATACTCAGGCCATCAAAGAATATACACACATCATTTTACATGTCCCAACAAAATGTAGAGTGTCACTCCTCTGGGAATTGTGACCATGTCTCCTACATATTATGTCTTGACTAATGCCATTAGATGCCACAGAAAAGGGAGACAGAGCAACTTTCTAGAACCATGTGCTTTCCAAGCCCCTCCTCGGAAGACATGTGATCCCTAGACAAGGATAGAATGCATGTGTACATGCTCTGTGATGGTGCCAGACAAGTCCAAAATGCAAACAAATAAACACAAACCGAATTCCTTCCAAAAACAAAAACAAAGCCAGGCATGAAGTGAAAAATATAATGTACAAAATGTGGTGTTTGTAGAATTTTGAACCATGGAAGATTATTCTGGACACACAACACTCTGAAATATACTCCAGTATATTTATTGCATTTAAACTTTTTTATGCCTTTCCATAAAGGATATCCAGAGCAGCCCATTACAAGAGAAACCATACAATTCATACAGATAAAGTAAAATACACATTAAAAGACAGAATAAAAGAGAGAGAGTGCCAGGTTTGTAGGTTGCATGCTGATTTAAATGAGGAGCATACTGAGTGCCATCAAAAGGCCATTGAGAGGAAAAAGGATCCAGCCTACAATTCTGTTTTCACTAAGAGGCCAATGTCTTGAAATAGGGGAAGGACCATTCTTGTGAGCATGTGCAGAGTGCCATTATTTGCCATTAAGTGACTGCAGTTTCTCCCTTGCTTGCCCCGTATTCTGTAAATGTTTGACTCATGGAAACTGACTGGATTCTCATTGTAATAAAAAACAACAAGAGTTCTCTGGCACCTTTTATGTATGGACTGCAGTCTACTTCATGAGATCCAGGTGCATAAGACAAGTGGCACTTCTTTTACTCAAACATCTAACCCTTTCACTTTCCACTGTCATTCTCAGCACACACAGAGAGGCCTGCAATCAATTAATCTATGTGCAAGCTACTTTAACATGCTTTAAATTGAGGTGGGTGGCAGAATCAGCAGATGCATTAAGACAAACAAACAAACATTGAATTTTAATTCTTATTGCCTCCTAAAACAACATTACAAAACTCTGACTGCAGTGCCTTAAAGACCAAGATGTTTTATTCGGCATATGCCTTCACAGTCTGCTTGGCATTGTTGGGAAATTCAGGACATTTCTTCTGATTGGAAGTAGCAAACCCAGAGTAATTCATAGATATAGCATACAATGTCCTTGGAAGGTGGACAATTCACAGGCAGGGAGCTTCACAAGATCTTTTAGTTCGCTGTACTCCTTACAAACAATCCTTTTATGAGATGCTGCTATTCACTAGAACTATCACTTCCTCTGAGATGTCTTATCTAATCTCCTCCACAAATCATACTACACAGTGCCAAGAAAGAACCAAGTAGTCCTTAGATTTGTCCAAATACTATGTGGACAATTTGGGGGGGGACCCTATACATTCAACATATCTCTACGTGTGTTCATCTCTGGACAGAAATGCATCCAGTTGCACCTGCTTATCATACAAATGCACCAGCTGAGTGGCTGCAGCATAAACAATATGTAAACATTCTGTACCACATAACATTGATTGGGGGTCTTGAGCTAAGGCAGCCCTCTAGATATTGCTAGCCTGCAACTCATACAAATGCACCAGCTGAGTGGCTGCAGCTTAAACAATATGTAAAAATTCTGTACCACATAACATTGGGTGGGGGTCTTGAGCTATTGAGATATTGCTAGCCAGCAACTCACATGCCTCAAGTAACAAAAGCAACAATAAGGAATGCTGAGAGCTGCAGTCCCAACATATGGAAGAGCATACTTTGCTCACCTGTAGTGTGAGCTGTGTAAAACCCACACAGCCTGCTACTTGTACAATCTCCCTCCCACGTACAGTCATGCATGTAAACATGCCTGAGCATATAAAGCATGCCCAGCGCATACACACTAGCTTTGTATGCCCTTACATCCTCTCTTTCTGAACAACACACTCTGTATGCATGTTCTTCAGATTTTTTTTCTAATAAACAAAGCAACTTCTTGTACAAGCTCTCCTTCATCCCCATGCTTGTAGATACACCCACACCCACCCACTCCCACACACCTCTTTTATAGCTGCCCTCCTGCAACAGGCATAGACATGGATTTCAAATTCAGAGCCCAGAGTGCTCTCCTCTCATCCCAAATCATTCTGTTGTGCTTGATTTCTTCCCAAGCCCTGGCAGGAGGGAGAGGAATAGCTATGTTTCAGTGATGCTTGCTAATTTACACTATTCTCATGCAAATGCCACTAAAGGGGGTGGGGGTCTGGAGAGAAGGTCGCTGCCTGGCCTTCCAACAGAAGATATTAGTTATATAGGGCTCTTTGAGACAGAGCATTTGTACCACCATTTGTTCCAAGTTCTACACTGATTGTTATCCAAATTCTCCCCTGCTGTCCAAACAACATCCCTCTTGTCTTTGTATTATTCCCTCCTCCAAGTTCCTTGACCTTTCTCACCCAGCCAATATCCTCAGTTTATTTTTTGTTCCATTTTGTATCAGGGGCAGTGTTTAATGCTATAGTGCTTTCCAAAAACTTCAGTGGTTAATAGGTGATGCACACAATGAAGCAACAGTAGTACAGTAGTTAATGAAGTACAGAGAAAGGCACATGCAGAACAATATTGAACAGCAGTACTAGCAAGTACAATGCAGAAAAAAGAGGAACAGTCCAGTTCTAGACCACCCAACAACAGGACACAACACCCAGTAAACCCTTTGAGCTTCCATCAGCAAATGATAGAAAAGGAAGTGAAATCTATAGCTATACGTGCAACTTCAGGAAGCACATAAAGTCATTGACATTTATATCCCACTTTTCCTATGATAAACTGAAAACAGTGTTGTTGCTTCTCTTCTACTTGATCATCACAACAACTCTGTGAGGTACAATAGGCTGAGAAACCTCTCAAGGTCACCATGCAAATTTCATGGCTAAGTGAGGACAAGAAACTGGATCTCCCTAGGCTTTTTTCTGCTTTCTTCCGGTTCCAAGTATTCCAATGTAAGTTCAGCCCAACCCATCAGGGAAAAGATGACTTCTAGCCAGGTGGGGAGAAAACAACAATTCTCAAAGGCTTTCAAGGCCAGGATCCAATGGTTGTTGTAGGTTCTAGAACAAGCCAAACAGCCCCAACAACCTACAACAACCATCAATATGGAGATAAATTAAATGGAGATGTTGCTTTGAAAACCAAGGCTGATGATAGTAGGAAGCATAACAACAGACTGATACACTTCCAAATACCATTTTAAAGAAAAGAAGGCTGTTTTTGCTTTTACATTTTGAAAATCCAGCCAAATTCACAGCATAAGAAAACACTGGTGGTAGTCCATTAAGTCCCTCCATAAGACATACTCAGTTTCCCCGAAAATAAGACCTAGTATGATTTTTCAGGATGCTCGTAATATAAGTCCTACTCCCCAAATAAGCCCTAGTTAAGTGAAACCCCGCCTTCCACCATTGTGCAGCAACCAGAAGATGACATGACTGCATTTGAATAAATGTAGATTGTTGTACATGAGAAAAATAAAACATCTCCTGAAAATAAGCCCTACTGCATTTTTGGAGCAAAAATTAATATAAGACCCTGTATTATTTTCGGGGAAACACAGTACATATAAATGTACTGAAGATACTTTTTAACCCCACTAAGGAAGGAAAACTAAAGTGAGATGTTTCAGTTTAAACAACATTATACAATCTTCACAAGGGACGTGGTGCCGCTGCAGGTTAAACCGCAGAAGCCTCTGTGCTACAAGGTCAGAAGACCTGCAGTCGTAAGATCGAATTCACATGACAGAGAGAGCCTCCGGTGCTTGTCCCAGCTCCCGCCAATCTAGTGGTTCGAAAGCATGCAAAATGCGAGTAGATAAATAGGTACCACCACGGTGGGAAGGTAACGGCATTCTATGTCTAGTCGCGCTGGCCACGTGACCATGGAAGATTGTCTTCAGACTAACGTTAGCTCTATGGGTTGGAAATGGAGGTGAGCACCACCCCTAAAGTCAGACACGACTGGACAAATTGTCAAGGGGAACCTTTACCT